CGCACTCCTCTCCCTCGTCGCCCTCCTCGCCTTTCTCGTTCTCTTCGCCAGCCTTCGACACGGTCATGTCCGACGCACTCATGCTCAGTCTGCTCGCCGACCTCATATTGGACGAGACCTCGTTCAAGTCTCGCCCCGTCCACCGTTTTTCAGCGCCAGCCCAGACGCCCGCACCACTCTCGAAGGCACGCAACCGGCGTCTCCAACCAGTCACCGCCTCAGCCGAGCTGCCAAGCCTTCTGGCCGCCAAACCGGCTGGACCGACCGGTCACGGACTCGGTCTCGGAGCAGCTATGCCAAGTAAGGATCATGCCATTGTTGGTGTTAGTCCTAGTGCTATTGCCAATGCCCAATTCGGTGTCAGTGTTGGTGCCAGTGCCAGTGCTAGTGCCAGGTTTAGGGTCAGCGCCTCCCAACCTGCGGGACTCGAACCATGGACTCGAGGCTTCACCGGCCACAAGCGTCAACTTGCGCGTGGAAACGCGCTACAAACCGGTGCTCGTTCAGACTGGCAACGCTGGCAGACACAACCGCCTAGGCCTGCAGGCGTCTGCCGCGATGCGCTCACGGTTCGAGTCCCGCCGGCCGAGTCGAACCAGCAACCCGGTCCCTCTGTCGGGTCGTGTGCCTTGGCCGACTCGAGCCCCAATCCTGGCACACGCTGGCCCGGCCTGACTGGCCACTCCAGCCTCCATTTGGTGACAACCTTTGGAGGCATCCAACCGCGTGGCAACGCTCAATCCTCAAACAAACATTGTCTTTTCCCCTTTCTAGACGTCCACTTGGCGCGCAGCAACAATGTCAACCCGGTTCTTGAGACCATCGACTACTGGATTGACAGGTCAGCCGTTCTTCAAGTCTATCCCAACACCGTTTGCTCTATTCGCATTAGCACAGCCTAGACGTTCGAGACTGTCGGCCGATCTGGAATGCACATTCCAATCGGTCTGGGTCGCGAAAGGTGACCAAGGAGTGGCAGTTCAATCCCACGGGTGGTTGTATTTAATTGCATTATATTTAAAGAATTTGAACATATTACTTATTTCGCTAATCAGTAGACGCTGATGAGATCAATCGAGGCGAGATGTAGACTGCTGTTCTGTATAGACTAGTCAGAGCTGGGTCTCATTCCTGGAAAAGTATCACGTTAAAAATATCTTGCCTCTTATGTAGACTAAATTAAACAAAAGATATAAAGTGATTTGGCTAATTATCTTTCATATTGCTCCTGCTACCATGTTCAAGTGTGTGTGTGTGTTTCGCCTATACGCAATACCGGTGCTAAATCAGAGTTGTCAAAAAACTAACTTCAAGAGAAAGTCTTGACCGAGACTGAGTAAGTGCGTGAACAAGTATGGTCGAGATGATGAGATATGGGCTTGTAAGCATGTCAGTCAAGTTACGAAACTACTTGTACCAACCTCTCAGTCGAGGGTCGTTAACATTTAACCCGCAAGTAGAGCCAAGATTGCGGTTGCGTAATCTGACATGTCCGGTTTGGTTGCTGAGATTCATCCAACATGTATGACGAGTATGAGGCAAGTCTAGTCTAGACTAGAAGTTGTTTGATCTGATTTTGGCGACTAAATCATTTTTTGTAAGAAGACGCAAAATGTAGTGCCCCTCGTTCGGTGTGCATCGTATGCACCATAATTTGCAGAGTCACATCGTGGACTTGGTACATTCACGGACATGTCGCCGGCATCGTCAGTCAACCTTGACCTTTTTTGTACCAAACTACAAACTCGCCAAAGAGAGAATGAACCCAACCGCACGACCAATGTTCTTGTCCTCTTTAAGCAACATGCAAACGTATCGCCAACTCTGCTTTCCTCCAATCTCCTCTTCGTCAGATCTTCTTCCACAAACATGTCAATCGTCTCTCTAACATTCCGCTTTCTGTTGCCTTCCAATTGATCTCGTCTTTCGGTATCCCTTTTCCTACGCAGCCGCTTATTTTGCTCGATTCGAATGCTCATTTTTCTGACAATATTTCGCCAATTTATGCCTATTCGCAGGCACCGAAAAGTGATGATTTCTCTTTCATGGTCACCTGAATATTTTATTTCAGTTGGAATTAGTTGGCAGGACGGTAGGCATACCGAATTTTGGCAATCCTTCTCCGTCCTTACGATTCTTTCATAGTCCCATTCTATCACGGTTCGTCTGCTTCTTTGTGTTGCTTAGCTTGGCCGGCCGTTGCCATATAATTGGTACAGCTTAATGAGTTTCTCCGCTAGGCCTCTACTCAGAAGTTGAGTGAAATTTATGATACACAAATGAATAAGCTATCTAAGTCAAATCTTCGTCGTCATTTGGCCAGTATCTTGACTCTGGGAGATTTTCAAAAACTCCACATTCTGACCGACAATAAATCAGGTATGATCACTGACTTGCCAACAATATGGCATGAGCATAATTTGCGTAAGTTTGCATTTATAAGGCAGCTTAAATTAAATGCA